GGCAGGACCCAATCTACCAGCTGAGATCAGCATTCCCTGGCACTCTGCCAACTGGCAGCACTGCAGGAGAGAAAAAGAGAGAGAAGGGTGGGGGGGAGCGAATGAAAGAAAATTAGTGAATAATAGACGGCGGGAGGGGTGCGAGAGAATGAGAGGGGGATGGGAGAGAAGTATGAATCAGGAAGAGAAAGAAAGAAAGACAGACAGAGGGGGGAAAAGAAGATGGGGAGAGAAAGAACAATAATGGTGGATTAAGAAAAGGGGGCTGTGTGTGTGTGTTGTGTGTGTGTGTGTGCACGAGTGTGATTGATATGGTGTGATATCCCTGTGAGTCATAAGCTGAGCTAAAATGTCAACTGGCTACATGAGAATCTCTTTGTCATCCAGCCTCAGTGACACACACATACACACACATACACACACATACACACACAGACACACACATGCACATATCCAACGGATCGCATAAACACACATATATGATCAAAGCTCCACGCGAACGACAAACAAACATGACACACCTGCGAACACAGATGTTCCATTGTTTCGCCGCAGTGATTAATGACCTTTTGTTATTTTTATTTATTTATTTTTTGTTGTTGTTGTGGGCGCCTTTTGCCGCTTCTCAACTTCACCAAAATCATGGGCGAAAGAACAAAAAAAATACGAAAGAGAAGAAAAGGAAAAGCAGCCCGAATGTGCATAAATCCAGTCAAACTGCTGCGCACTCCAAATATTTGGGGTGTGTGTGTGTGAGTGCGCCTGCCAAAACCCTTGTGCGTTCAATATGCTGTATATCACAGTTTTATGTTTTAGCTGACTGTGTTAGCTGGGGTTTGCAGTGCCGTCAACACAATGATAAAATATGCTTACATTTTTAAATTGCCTAAACAAGTAGTCATGACTAAGCAAAGTTAGGACGAACGTAACCACACCCGAACAGCAGATTTAACTAACACTGTTCAGATGAAGAACATGCATGCAGGTCTGTGTGTGTGTGTCCCTGGTTTTGTTACGTTTAAGAATCTTTTCTGGTTCAATCACCTACTTTGTTAGGACTTGTAGTTCATATGGGGAACYAAAGACTGACCTTTGAACAGGTAAACGTCACTTTTGAGCTACAGTTAGGTTTAGGACTAAGGTATGATTTGCATGTCTGCAGGGTTAGGGTTAGGCTACAGAAAGAAATGGAAGGTATTTTAATGTCCCAATATAGATAGAAAGTTGGATTTGTGTGTGTTTGTGTCTACCTGTTATTTATTTATTTATTTATTTATTTATTTATTTATTTATTTATTTATTTATTTATTTATTTTACCTTTTTAGGACCATTTTTGGTACAAACATCTACCTCGTCAGGACCAATAGTAATTTTGAGGACCATAGACTGGGCATAATCTGGTTAAACTCCCATTGGGGGTTAGGTTTACAATAAGAACCAGGGTTAAGCTACAGAAATGAATGGAAGTCAAAACACAGTCCCAATAAGGATAGAAATGCAAACTTGTGTGTGTGTGTGTGTGTGTGTGTGTGTGTGTGTGTGTGTGTGTGTGTGTGTGTGTGTGTGTGTGTGTGTGTGTGTGTGTGTGTGTGTGTGTGTGTGTGTGTGTGTATACAGTCCTTATTTAAGCAAAAATGCTGCTACTGTATGAGTGTACAGGAAGGGCGTGTGGGGAAGTCAAAACATTGCGCGCCCATCCTGTTTAGAAAAGTCCATGTCCTGCAGTGGTGCCCTTAGCTTCTAAAAACACACACACACACACACACACACACACACGCCGACGAGCAGTCACACACCGGATAATCATCCCATATGTGCTAACAGTATGCCTGAGTGTATCGTGAACGATCGTAGGAGGCAGAACAGGTGCACACCTGTTACGCGTCGGAGTGCACGCGCCCGTCCGCCCACACAGGCTGTGGAGTAAATGAAGATCAAATGAAGAGTCTCTTTTATGTACATACATTAAAACACGTGCCGAATCCTGTATATGGATGTCATCGTTATGTAAAAAAAAAAAAAAAGGGTGATGGAACACATTCAAAGTGTTTAAACCTTAATTGCTCTTAATCCTGTTTAGCTAAAAACCTGCCACCTCCGGTTCGTCTCTCGGTTTGTCAAAAGGATTGTCTCTTACATTTAAAGGGATTGTGCTGAAATGTTCAGGCAGCCAAAATACACGCATCTTTTTTTTTCAGCTGGACAGAACTCTTTTCTTTTTCTTTGAGACACTGATGTTTAATCACATTTTAAACATTAGGTTTATTTGCTATTTTTTTATTCCCAGGAATTTCTAGGAGGAGGCTACCTCAGACATTTATCCCCCCTCAACCGAGACACTAAAGGATGGCATAACTTCACACACACTGCTGGTAATTGTGTACTCCTTCTGTACAGATATTAACACATACGGCTTAATGTTCCTGGAATATGTGTTGCTTTGAGTAAAAAAAGATCAGCTTGAGCATATTTAACTTTTTATTGCCTGTCCCAAAGGTGAAATGGACATAATGTTTTGTCAGWGGCTGAGTGTGTTCATGTATATGTTCTCACTAGGAATGCTCATTTTTTTTATAGAATTGAACTACTGTATGTGCATGGAAAATGCATACTTCAGTCCTTTAACTTTTACAGTCAAMCCARTTCAAGATRGCTGCCACATCTAGTTTACCGAAAAGGGCTGTAATCGATCAATTTTACAGATATTCATCTGAAATTTATTGTGTTAGTCACTGTTAGTCATGCTCTAAGTACTACACATTTCACAGCGTTGTTGCATAACTTTGGCATTAACTGTTGGTGTCAATCTTGTTAGTTATACAAAAATTGATCACACTGATACAGATTTACAGTCCACAGACTGTAGTTTTAATTTAGAAAATTTTACCTTCCTAAATCTTTTTTAAGTCATCAGCCATTATCTGCCTATCTTCTGTTTTTCCTTTACAGAGGATGGATTCTCCACCAGAGTGTGTGTTGGCCCTTTCCTGTGAGCATCCCCAGTCCCCCCCAACATTGCCCTCTCTGGACCACAGTCCCCAAACCTCCTCTCCTCTACCTGACAGCCCTGTCATCTTGCCGATCCACAGCCCCGAACCCTCCCCGCGAAGCCCCAACACAACGCCGTACTACCCCCTCTCTCCCTTCCCCCTCCAAGAGGACAATAACAACAACTGCCTCGATGTTGACAGAGAAGATTGTGAAGAGGAGCTGGATGGAGTACCTCCGTCTCCGACACCTGCGGTGGCTTTGTTTCCGGGGGGTGGGGGTCAAGAAGCTGGACACAGCCCTGGTTTTGACTCCTCCCCACCAGACACACCCTCAGCTCCATTTCTTGGGTACGGTGCCCTGGAGCTGGCCCTGTCCTCTGGGCCAACTGGAAACTGCGGCGATGAGTTAGACCTCCAGCTGTTCCAAAAAGAAACGGTCACCAGAGCCGTACCTGGAGTTGGAGGGGCCTTGTCCGGGCCTGCGCTCAAGTTTCCCTGTCATGTTTGCGGGAAGAGATTCAGATTTCAAAGTATTTTGTCTCTTCACGCTCGAGCTCACAGTCTGGACCGAGAGCGCAGAGCTTCTTCCCTATACCGGACCAGACCTTCCTCATCGCCCCTCAAGCATCATCTTAAATTTCAACAAAACCACAAAGACTTCATACCGAATCACAGAAGTCACGCCAACCAGCGTCTACTGCCAAGAACTCTCATCCAGCACCTCACAGAAAAAGAGGATATTAATGGTGAGGACAAAGGTTTAGATGACCAGAACCCAAACTTTTTACTGGATGACAGTACACCCTTGACCCCTCCACTGACAGAGGACCCTGTGCCTGTGATCTCTCCTTACTCTGCTTCAGGCGAGGGCTCATCTCTTTCCACAGCACCCACGTTTCGCTGCCACGCCTGCAAGGGAAAGTTTCGCACAGCTTCAGAGCTGGCCCGTCACGTCCGTATTCTCCACAACCCGTATAAATGCACCCTTTGTCCTTTTTCTGCTAGCCAAGAAGAGAGTCTGGCGAGCCACTTGCAGGAGTGCCACCCGTCCCCGGAGGTGCCTGCTTTGACAACAGCCTACAACTGTAGAACCATCATTGACACGCCGGTGTCCACCCCGACAAATACCCCAGCAACAACCCCGAGCAACTCGCAGTTGACTTCAGCTGCGTCCTCCTCACTGCCGGCCTTCCGCTGCGACACATGTGGCCAGAGGTTCACCCAGTCTTGGTTCCTGAAAGGACACATGCGAAAACACAAGGATTCTTTAGACCACAAGTGCCAGGTGTGTGGCCGTGGCTTCAAAGAGCCTTGGTTCTTGAAAAACCACATGAAAGTTCATCTCAACAAGCTTGGTCTGAAGGCTGGATTGGGAACCGCCGGGGTGCTTGGAGGTCTTGAGGATCAGTCCAAAGGCTCTGCTAGCAGTCAGTCTCTCAACACTCTCTACTCAAGCCTCTTTCTGGCTCAACGAGGGGGTGGAGTCAGAGGTAGACAAGGAAGGTCTGCTAAGGACACTAGAGGTAATACGGAGATGAACTTAAACAAGTCAGCCGTCCTGGGATATCTTGGCTTGCCTAGTGATGGCAGTGGTGCCAGCTGCATGGAGAGACTTCAAGCCGTGGCTCAGGTGGCAGAGATGGGAAATAGTGGCAGCAGTGTACGCAACTCAGCAGGGGGAGATCCAGCTAGTGGAGGAGGAACCAGCAGAGAAAGCACGAGAGAAACCCCAGCAACTATTTCAGATGGAGGGGACCAAGCAACCTGGTGGCAGCTTGTTGCTCGAAGCCTGGCAGTGGCTCAGCAACAGCAGCAGCAGAGGCCCCAGCAGCGAGGCCAGCGATCTCAAGGTCGAAGTTCAGCCGTCGCAGAGGCAGACCAGGGCAGGGCCTACCGCTCCAGCCTGGATCTGAGAGGGGAAATGGGAGGGCCGTGGGAATGCCCAGACTGTGGAAAGCTGTTCCGCAGCCTGCAGCAGGTGGTGGTTCATGCTCGCGTTCATGCTCAGAGGTCACAGAAAGGAGGCAGCAGCGAAGAGGAGGGGACTGGTAGTCGCAGAGCAGCGGGGCTTGGAAGAGGAGGTGAAGCGAGACCGGAACCCCAGCTCCATCGTGGCGGATCCCAACAAACGGGAGATGTGAGACAGGAATCAAAAGTGAACAGTGGTGGATCACCCCAAGCAGGAGCAGYCACTGGGTTTCACTCTGTCATTTCCAACTTCAAAGGTACCACAGCTTCCTTTTCGCTGTTTTCTTCTCTGCGTTTTGTTTACTTACATGTAATGATATTATTTCCTGGGCATATTTTGTCACTATTGTGCTCTTGTATGTAGAGGCTCTATTGGGGCACCAACTGTTACTGTATGTTTACATTTTGATCCTTTATCCTCCACTATTAGGTGAAAACGGCTTCTCGGCAGTCTCCTCCTTACACTCTGTTCCCAGCAGGGAGCGAGTGCGTGGCAGAGGGATAAAAGACTGCCCCTACTGTGGCAAAGCCTTCCGCTCTTCACAYCATCTCAAAGTGCACCTGAGAGTTCACACAGGTGAGACACTGCTGTGACTTTATCAAGCCTTGTTTTGCTATCTCAACCTTTAAAAAAATCCCTGGAAAGATTTCATCCAGCATTGWCGCTTTTGCAGAACTAACTCTTTACTTGTTTTATTTAATTTTTTTTCCTACATTCACTCCTGAGAGCAGGCCAGCGCTAATCATAGCTCTCCACTGCAGGCAACTGAGCAGCTCCACTGGAGCACTACCTGCTTAAGTGCAGAGCTCAAGTTTATATTAACAATGGTTTCTTGAGGGAGAAATCAAGTCACGCCGGGGATTTATAACTAGGAAAGAGCTAACTTTTTCTGGGCTGTAGCATCTCTCCTTCAAATCAAGGTCAAGAAAAATATTTTCATCCTCGCCTTTTAAACAATGCCAGTTTTCTCCAATTTAACACGCACAACTCCAAACTGTTCAAACAATTAAAGTGTTAAAGAAACTGGGTCAAATTAGAGTTCAGTTCTTCTGAACTATAAGACTTCTAAGTCTCCCCATAAAGACATTTTATGTGTTGAAGCTGTAAAACATTGGTTTTTTGACATTTTTGTGAAGATGTCGCCTTTCAAGCCAGAGTTTTAGCCTAAGATCATCCCGATGTTGTAGTTGTTATGGTCGAACATTAAAAATATCATTATACGCAATACTGCAAGATGTCATGCTCAGAATAAACAAGTGTGTTGTGAATAACATCCACCCACTGCCACGTCAAAGTTTAGATKAATATCTGTAAAATTTATTGACTTACAGCCATTTGTGCATTGGCTAATGTCGATAAGCTGTGCTGATTATCTTGATTTGGATTCACTCCAAAAGTTAAACAGTTATAGATGTCCATTGAGTGATTATTTCTTGGAAGTTGCAGTAAAATCTGCACAGAGGCTTGTGAGATATTTTTGCTAACAGACAAACAAGGTTGACTCCCAACAACTAATGGTGAAATTTTAARCACATATCTTGCACAATGAGTAACACTTATAGTATATGTTGTGAATGACTCTTTACAGTTCCACTAAACTATTGCTCTGTTTTTGGTTAAACTGGCTGAATTATAGTTGTTTCTGTGTTCTCTAAATTCTGTTCCCTGTGGGGACTATTCTAAAACAGATTGACTCCAGATGTTAATGAGTGGAAGAGGTAGATCCAGTCATTATTTTCTAAAAGATTCATTAAAATCTGTTCATGAGATATTTTGCTAACAGACRGAGTTGAGTCAAAACTTGAATCAAAGATCTTGAGGACTATTTTAGCACACAGAATATGGTTTGGGGATCAGTCTCGACATTATCACACCAAACTTAAGCTCGGTGTTGGTCAAAGTGACTGGGCTGAGGCTGTTTTTGTGTTTTTAAAGGTCACTTGGCTGTGGCGGACATCTTGAATCAGGTTGACTCTAAAAGTGAATCAGTTGTAGCCGAAGAACCTCCATTCATTATTCATCTGTAGCTTATGTGTCGTGTCACATTGCCTCCTTTTTTATGATTAGATTTATTTTCATTTTAGTCGTCTGTGGTCAGGCATTAAAGCTAGATGATGATTAAATTGTAACCCTCACATTTGAATATCATCACCATATGTTCCCTGGAAAAAAATATCCCATCTTTACTTTATTCCTGCATCTGTTAGCTCAACTTTAATGTGTACTCAGATATTCTAAAKATGTAATAAGTATCTCTTACAGGTTTCATATGTGGCACATTCCTGTAGTTGGAATGCAGCTTCATCCTCTGTCTTTCTCAGTGTTGTTTAATCAGYAATGTAATGCTGCCATCTTCCTTAAAATAATGTAACTACAGCTGTTGTGTCTCACTGCTGAAGAGACTGGATACAGCTGCAGTTGGATGTTTACTCATTATGAGCTTAAATGTCATTTTAAATATTGGGTTTATAATGACTTATTTGATCCATTTTTTTTCCAGGGTGGAATGATTATACAAGCTTGACAAGGCCTATTAATTAATTAGCTTTGGTGATTGTGATTGATTGCTGCTGTTAGTTTCTCTTTGCCGGAACAAAAAGTTTGACAGTACTCTTTGGATTGATCAGTATTTAGAACAATGCAACTCAGTGAAGATTTTAAAAACTAGATACCGCATAGCGGTAACATAATGACCCCCACACACACAAATGCACCAGAACTCAGACGTCTTTATTCCTAATAAATGTCATGCTACTAGATGCATCCCAAAATGGTAGTGGTTTGGGTTGCGGTCTTTTATTTTTGGAGGGGTGGGGGGTTAACCTGATGGATAGCCCCTCATCAGAGCTAAACAAAAGAAGAAATCTGAAGCTCCTATGTTTAGTAGTTTTTGAGCAATAACCATTTTTGTATGTCCAGATACACCTTTTTCAGATAAATTTGGGGTCCGGGTGGGCACTGATTAGTGGGCCTGATGGATAGAGCTTCATCAGAGCTAAACAACAAAAGAAATCTGAAGCTCCTATGTTTAATAGTTTTTGAGCTATAACCATAACCCTTTTTCAGAGAAATTGGGGGCCCGGGCAGGGGTGAGTGGGCACTGATTGGTGGGCCTGATGGATAGAGCTAAACAACCAAAAAAATCTTAAGCTCCTATGTTGAACAGTTTCTGAGTTATAAGCATTTTTGCATGTCCAGACACCCCTTTTTCAGAAAATTGGGGGTCTGTTGTCCGGGTGGGCACTGATTAGTGGGCCTGATGGATAGAGCTTCATCAGAGCTAAACAACAAAAGAAATCTGAAGCTCCTATGTTTAATAGTTTTTGAGCTATAACCATAACCCTTTTTCAGAGAAATTGGGGGCCCGGGCAGGGGTGAGTGGGCACTGATTGGTGGGCCTGATGGATAGAGCTAAACAACMAAAAAAATCTTAAGCTCCTATGTTGAACAGTTTCTGAGTTATAAGCATTTTTGCATGTCCAGACACCCCCACTTTGAAAGGAGCCCCCTCCTCAAATATGGGGTCTATCATAAAACCGTTGGCTGGCGCAGTGTAAGTCAGACTCATCTACAGTCCTGCCAAATTTCATGTTGATCGGTGCAGCCGTTTTTGTGCTATGGCTGACCAAAAACCACAATAAATAAATAAATAAACAGTATGAAAACAATATGACTCCCGCTTACGCTTCGCGTGCGGAGGTCATAATAATTGTAGATTTATACAAGCTATGGAGCCATTTCTAAACAACTTCAGCTTCCAAGATCATCATTTCAAACAAATATATTTAAGTGTAAATTATTCAGATGTGTTGGGATCTGGAAGAAGAACTCAACTGTCACCATCAGAGGGAAGGCAGCTGGTTAGGATGCTCAGAGACCAGGCTCAAGAACTGCCATGAACCGAGAAGAAAATTGGCTCATTTATATCAAAATGTCCAGAAGAGGAAAAGGAGGACAACACTGAAAGTGTTGAAGGTTTTGTAGTGGAGTAATAGATTCGGTTATAGGAGCTTTACTGTCAGAAGATACAAAGATTGCATAATTAGGCTACAATGACAAAAACAAAGCAAATTTGTGGTCCATGCTTAGGCCAGCACCACATTAACCACACCACAACTGGGCCAGTGGTGGCATGCAATCTTAAAAATGGCATTATCATTGCTAGACTTGGCCCACGTCTGATTGGCAAACCACTTGGCATGCCAGGAGAGCCAGCTTTACACCAGATCTGGCTCACACCTGTCTGCTGTGTGGGCTGTACCAACTGTCAGGCATAGTGGTGAGAGCTTCATGCTGTGGTACTGGAGACATAAAGTGGATAGAATAGTGAAGGAGGAGGACAACCTTTAACTTTTGTTCTCAAACCAGCAACTAGACAGCTAAATTTGGATCCAGTCGGGTGTCCCAAGACAATGATGTCAGACACCCAACAGAACATAAAGCTTCTGGAACCCTGACATCAACCCTGTAGAGTATGATTAAAAGTCAGATTTGTGTCTGGAAACCAACCAGTTTTTATGAATTCTACCAATTCTTCAAAAAAAAGTAGTCAAATACTCAGAACTTCTGTTGACCAGCAGCATGTTGATGGATACAGAAATCATGTAGATGAGGTGCAACTAGCTGATGGACATTTAACTAGATATTAGCGTGTGTGGATG